AAATTTGTATCAATTTTACTGGTAGTCCACTGTATGAAGAATTTCTGCGTATAATATATCACAGTTTAGTTTATGTTGCTATCCTCGCTTTACATAAATGAACTATAGTGTCCTACACCCACTAGTAAAAAATATCAAAAATTATATCTGGTCTCTGAATAATTTTTGGTTTGACTGTATATCCTTCTGTTATTTTCACACCACTCGCTATAAATCTCCTAACTGTGATATTTTCATAAATAGAAGTCGCGTTTTTTTCATCTGAAATGTGCAGCGATTTATTTTCCAAAGCCACTCATATAATGCATTAACATTCATGAAGCAAGCAAAACACGTGCAACACGCACACGTATTTGTTCTGGTGCAGAATGAGAGGGACAAGTACAATACAGCCTAGCGCATTTCACACAGGCTGTTAGTTTCACTTTCGCCAGAAAGTCGTGTATGCTTAAGGGTGAAAATAAATGACGTTTATAGTGAATGCCCCTATAAATTGTCTTATATTTACGATTTAGTTTTAATCCAAATGATGCGTGCTAAGTGAGCGAACATCAATAAAGATCACACAACAGAAGTGCGCGCACTCTCTCTCTCCCTCCCTCCCTCCCATTAAGTAACTTGTGCATTGTTTTACTTACTTCTTTTTGACACATCCGACCGAACTACAAACTTTCCAGTGATGTCTGTGAGAAAGGTATATTCACTCGACAAGCTCGCGCATCTGCGCCGCCGCGCGCTCAAATCCACTCAGCGTGCTTTTTTTATCAGCTCGCGCACTTCAGCTATACAGGCGTTAATACTGAATGTTTAACGTTATATTCATTGCATACATATACTTCGTAGACATCTTTAATCTCTAGTAACTCCATTCTGCTGTCTGTTGTCTGTGTTTCTTTGTCTGAATATGGCACTTATCACATGCTGTGTGGTATCGGCGTTTGGTATCGGGGCATTTTAACGAGTACGAGTACGAGTACAGGAGCTCAGTATCGGGCCCGATACCGATACCAGTATCCCTAATTTATAATGTTACAAAAGATTTCTATTTCAAATAAATGCTGTTCTTTTGGCCTTTTGTTCATCAAATAATCCTATAAATGTATCACAGTTTCCACAAAAATATTAATAGCATTAATATATATTAATATTATAACTTTTCAATATTGAAGTGCTTCTTGATCAGCAAATGAGCATAATGGAATGATTTCTGAAGGATCATGTGACACTGAAGACTGAAGTAATGGCTGCTGAAAATTCAGCTTTGCCATCACAGGAATAAAATTACATTTTAAATTTATTGAAATAGAAAACAGCTATTTTAATAATATTTTACAATATTACTGTTTTACTCTATTTTTTAATCAAGTAAAATGCAGCCTATGAGCATAAAAGTCTTCTTTCAAAATATTAATAACTCTTATGTCGACCACACACCTTTAAATGGTAGTGTACATCTGACCACAACAGAAACAGCACATTACAAGAACAAGGAAAATCTAACAGCATTCGACTACAGAGGCTCTCTTGTGTCTTGTTGCGGTTTACAGGGCATCTCTGAGTGCTCAAGGCCTGAACACTCAAGCAGAACACAGAATAACATTAATAACATGGACCCTACTAATACTGGTAACACCAGGTTAAACGATAGCAGATAAAAGTAACAGACAAAAATCAGGAAATAGTTTTACATATCTATACTATTTGATAAATCTACAAATCCTCTTCTGCATCTAATCTAGACAGTAACAATTAAGCCTTGTTTTGCCTGAGGAATCTCGTCTATCTGTGATAACTTCTTCCGCACAGAGTCCCTCAATGGTTATATAAACTATACTGCAGTCTGGGCACTTAGCAACTCAGACAACACACTCGTCACTGGATTTAATACAGGTCTCTGCCTGCAACATATCTCTTCTCTGAGATAAACAAGGAAATGTCAGGCTGTCCTCTTCAGTACTCAGCCCAGTCACCATAATTACAGAAGGGAAGAGGGAAGGCTTTGGCCAAACAGTACACTTAGAGGTCCATTTGCCAGTAGAGGGTTGATCCAGGGCCTGGCTAACAGATTAGATTTGCCTGTTATGACCTGGACTTAAGAAGACGTAATGCAGACATAAGTATCTATTACACAGCTTCCCCCTGCATTCTGCTGTCTGCCCATTACAGCCCAGAGACACCCAGGTACAGCGAACTGGCATTCAGACAGGCTTTCAGGAGCTACTCTAACAGCCATGGACTAATGAGCTGGAGAGCTTCTTTCACTATAAAAGACCCTTTGGGAACCAGAATGCTATGAACTTTACACCAAACCTAGCATGAAATACAACACATCTAGTGTTGGTGTTATTCTTCTGTTAACACTGTACATGTTATGAAAACAAATTATGAAAATAAATTTTTGAGCGAAATCTTTTGTAACATTATGTCTTTACTGTCACTTTTGATCAATTTATTGCATACTTGCTGAAGAAATGTACAAAAATCATTTCTTACTGGCCCCAATCTTCTGAAGAGCAGAGTAAGTTTTAGCCATATCGACAGAGACAGAGCTTTTAGAGGAAATAAGGGAGAACAGAATGATGGACAGAGCTGATATGAGTACGTCGACTGAAACTGAATCATCAAATTCTTTACTCTCCAAAGCGTAGGTCAAAAACAGGGCAAATAGATGAATGACACATAAAACACATCCTTGTGACACAAAGTCATCTTCAAAAAACAAGGATATAATTAATCATTTTACTGTAACATGGTTTTATTTTAGAGACGATTTTGGAGGAGTGGAGTGGAACAGATGAGAACCAGACTGAGTTTACAAGAATTAGCTACACTTAAATTACAATTTTATCAAAAAAAAAAATGCTAGGGTGAGGGATTAAGTATTTATCATCTGTCACAGTGCAGTTATGAGCTAAACCTTTTTCACGGCCATCGTTTTTACTTCATAGATGCACAACAAATTGCCCTGAAAAATGGAACTTTTGGGGGTGTTGAGTGCTTGAGGAGAATTTTACGAGGTGGACAGAGGCTGTAGACACTGGAGGATGCATTCATTTACATTTTCAGAGTCATTTACATATTCTCAGATTAAAAAATAAAAATCGCCAACAACAGAGAGCAATTTACAACACTCAGTTCAAAAGTTCACTGCTACACCTTGTTTGTTAAAGGGAGAGTTCACCCAAAAGTGAAAGATTTGTCACCCTCTTGTCATTTAAAACCTGTAAAACGGAAACTTTTTTTTTGACAGAAATGTAATTTTTTGGCAAACAATCCCTTTAACACCGTACTATTTCTACGAATAATTTGTCGTATATAAACAGTCAATCAGTACGTTCACATGGACAACAATACTCCGATTTTAATACGATTAAGAAAATACTCTGATTAATAATCTACAATGTAAACAGAGATTTTTGATTACCTTAATCCGGCTAAAGTCATAATTGAAGTGAACACTAATCGAATTAAGACATGTGGAGTATTCCTATTTTAGTCGCATTATTGAAGTGCAGTAAAGACATGTACACACCTTAATCACATTATTACCGTCGTGTAGGACTTTTCGCCGCATTTCGCGACAGGATACACACACGGCAGTGCTCAACCATTTGACGGCAAATAAAAGAGCTTCAACACCGCCATCGTCTGAATGCATGTACAAATAATTAACTGCACTTGAAGCTTTCATAAAATTAAAAATGAAACACCCAAAACTGTACATGGCATCATCACGAAGACGAACTATATGTTTATAAGTGAAATTCCGGAAGGGACATCGGATAGCGTCGCGTGGGACGTAATGACGTGTGCCATTAATTGAACTATGTACTATAACATGTCAAACGGGAACATGAAAGGAATATTCTAAAAGCAACTCATGTAAACACCATAATCATAATATTGGCTTATTTAGAATACGGTAAATAATTAGATTACTGATGTCCATGTAAACGTAGTCAATGTGTTCACAGTTTTGAGATGTCAAAACATTGTAAAACAATATTGATGCTTTAATCATATTCACTCAATATACCCATTCTAATGGAAGACATATTGCCACTAATTTGATGACATATGATTTTCTTATTCAAAACACATCTTCAATTTACCTTCCTGAGAGAGAGAATTAAACTGAGACTAACTGAAATTGAGCCTAATAAATGAAGAGCATAAAGCAGCATAGATTAGCACTATATTGTGTGTAATGTTATAATGTCAATGATGCTTAGACTTGCACTCAGATGGTCAAATGTAATCTTGTAAGGCTTTTATAAGCCTAATTTATAGCTGCAAAGCGTGAAAGTGAGAGGGTGTATTTTCTAGGTTAGTTGGTTGCTCTGTCAGGTATAGTTCAGAAAGGAGAGTAGGCCACAGG